TGGTGTATCCCTCCTCAGATATCAAAGAGAAAGCCAATTCACCCAATTCAAGTCAATTCACCACACACATAATGTAATATTGTCAGATAGGCGGTTAGAAAATGGCGCTATCAAATTAGGACTTGGAGACAAATTTCCAAGCAGAACATGCAAGATCAAACCAATGCACAACAGCAGGATCGTACGGATAATCTATACGGGTAAATCCAAACTCAAGAATTAACCAAAGTGAGCCTTCCCAAACAGAGGGGCAAGGAGATGTCAGTGATCCTCACACTTAAAAAGAAGCCGATAGGTACTGTAGGATAGTCATGCACAGTAGCTTCGCAGTATATACATCTCTGGATGGAAACCCCGCCTCTAACATTACATTATGTGGGTGGTGGAGGATAGGGAGGTCATTCAACCTCCTGCAACGCAAAGAAGGTTGGTCAGTCTATGAATGTATGAACCAAGACATAGATAAGGTGCTTCAGCAGGAATTTAGTGTAGAGAGCCAGAAAGGCCCTGAAGGCAAAGAGTGAGGGAAGATAAAACACAAGCAGACTTACAAAATTCTGTTCATATAGTTAGTCTCTCTGTTCAGTTAGGGATCTGATCTTCCCCATAGGACTGACACTTATATGGTGTATACTCAGGGGTGGGATTCAGACGGTTCGGACCAATTCAGGCGAAATGTTAGCTCCGATGATCAGCTTGGAGTGAACTGACAATCGGTTTGGTCCGCCCAACTGCCCCTGTGCTTTACTTACCTAGATCCTCTCAGCTGATTCGCGCAGCAGAGTGGATTGCTGCACCTCAGCTGTGTTACTCCGCAGAAGTAACATGGAAGGTAAGTTTTATTAAAACTGTGCACACGTGTGGAGCGTGCATCAGCGTGCGTACAAAACATGCAATCACCGAACTGGTTGTTAAAGTGGAAGGATCCCACCACTGTGTATACTTTACAGCAATAAAAGACTATTCCCCTTTCTAGGCTTACACATAAGATCCTTTACATCAAATCCAATTGTTTATTCACCGCGCTTAGGACGATATCTGACTAGGAGCAACTGTACAAGGTGTCTTGCCCAGAGAACTTTGCTACTTCTACTTCTTCTAATTACCCGGTCTTGTTAACTTCTTTAGGAACAAGCGAGTAAGTGCTGCCTGATGAAACTCCATGTTTTGATACATGGAGAGGCTTGCTCAGTGCTTGAGTGTCTAGTTTGCAAGCAGCAGATGCAACTCATGGCATCTTCTTAGCAGAAAAGCACCTGTTCACAACTCAGGAAAAACTCTGCAGTCAGTTTAGATAATGC